TAACCACTTCAACCTGTTCAGCATTGGTGGAAGATTTCTGTCTAAGGTAGGCCTGCATGAGATCTTCCCACTCAAAAACAGAACATTTATCAGATTTGTCACCCCTGAAATAAGGTGGAACATCAACATCAGAGCGTAACACAAGATTAAGTTTTGATGCATCAATAACAGTAGTGTAACCTTGAAATGACTGAGAAGAGTTCCTGATGTGATCCGGAGTCGAGACGGTTGGAGACTCCGAAGCAGCATTCTGCATCAAGGACATTTTGATGGACTCTCCTATTTCTGACCCAATGGATCTGAGTAGATCAGTCAATTGAGCAGAGGCAGCTTCCCCATCAGGTGAAAACATGTGCGAGGGCGAAAGAGTCACTGGGCTCGAGCCTGGAGCAAAACTAAAAGTTTGATTTGTCAGGTCGTCAAACCCCTTTTCCCTCCCAGACCCAAAAGGTTTTGAGCCCAGAACCCCTGGATTTTCTGGAGTAGACTGCATAGCAGCAGCTAGCCGCAAAACCCCTCTGCCCCTACCCATGGATAATTCCCCATGACTAGGGATTGACAGTTCATTCACATTCTGACCCTCCATGGATAGACCTCACTGTTGCCAACGTCTCCAAGGCGCAGGTGGAACCAGACGACGTCGTTCAGCAGCACCGGTGGTCTGCTTCAGCTGACCAGACGACGGGTCACGGCACCAGTTTTGTAGCGTAGTTGAATCTGCGTTGTGTCTTTTTGAGAAATAATAGCCGGACAACAGCTGATCCGATGATACTTTTAATGCTCCTGCATTCAAATAGAAATAGTATTTCAGAACAGGCTTTGTTGTCACAGTGCTCCACAGCTCCTTCTCCCACGGAATCTGAACAGAAAGAGCGCGACCGAGAGCGTGGAAAAACCCTTAACAACTATAATGGTATCACCCGTTAACTTGTCTTTTTTTTTTAAATGCTAAACTAACACTCGAAACAATATTCTATGAACTCCATATGTTCAACAGTAAAGATGATAATTTGCATTTTCATTCACAAAACATTCAATTTTAATAAAAATAATAATTCTGAAACAGGAAGTTACCTGCTGTTCCGCAATGGATTTGCCGACTTTTCAAAATAAAAGCTGGAAGTTTCCTACCGGAATAGCTTCTCTTTTTACAATCTAGTGTAATAACATCACACTGCTACATTGGCCATATATTTACTGTACAGTAGGAGGCTGGTTCAGGGCCCACACCCTATAACCTGGCCCGTCAGCGGGCGTGGTCTCATCTGGACACGATTCAAAGGAAAATTTAATTGTCAAAAGTTAGGAGACTGTTTTATGTATCATTTAAACATCTAGTGATAGTCTATGCATGGTAGGATCAACAGCTGTGACGCGGCATGTTTTCACAGCATTGTTGATGCTGCTAGCTGAGTGGAATACCATTTTTGCTAAATCTATTTAGTCTACATACCTCAGCATTAGGCCTATTTTTCTTCCTCCTACTTCCTTCATTTTCATAAAGCTGTTCCTGTAGGAACAGCTTTAAATCATTGAAAAGTGTAACACATCACGACTGAGCCCGATGTTCTTCCAGAGCGCTAACCATTGCATAACCATGGTCAAAACAGTAAGAGCAGGGCAGATCATGGCAAAGAATTATAACTATTGAGCTTTAATTTTATTGTCTCTTGGAGGGAAATGTTGACTATGTATAAAGATTGCATTTCATAATACATACATTTAAGTTTTTTTAATTCTGCAAATTTGTATCTGGTCCAGCAGAGGGCGCCACATGCAGGGGGCGCTGCTGATAAAGTTTTAGCATTTGGTCCCCTACCAAATGGACACATTTTTCACTAAGTTCAGAAGGAAACTGTTAATGTACCAGAAATCTAATTAAAGTAAAGAAAGTTTCCAGCATACATGATATCAGCCCTCCAGAACCACTGAACCATCCTAAACCAGTTGTACTTTTTTATTTCTGCTAATCCCAGCTAAATATAATCCAAAAATAGGATTATTGAATGTCTGCAAATATTTGTGCCCAGAAGTTATTTCATCTTTGGTCTTAATGAGTTAAGAGTTTCTGTTATGCCTTCAATTTATCATTCAACACTTTACACTCATGCTCAAGTAGCAATACAAATTCTACATATGGATTCAATGGTACAATACCTAAAAATATAAGAAGTCCTATTGTGGTGATTTGAAGACAATTTTATAGGCTATCAGGCTTTGTAGGCTTTCTGTTACGTTGATAACGAGCTTGAGGGATTACAAAGTTAGAAATGTGTCAGTGGAATTGATCCTTTGATGATCTGACTCGAACATTTGGTCAGTTGTGCTTCTAAGCAAAGACATCAGAACAAATGAGATGAAGGAATAAATCTGTTGCAATAAGCTTTAGGTATTTTGCAGGCAAAATCTTTGGGAAATCATATTTATTTTTAAAATAGAGAATATATTTTTTATTTACATTGAATTTTCCAATACAATTATTCAACTAAAACGACTAACTTTTTCTGTATAACCCAAAAGTTTGTTTTACAGTTGCTGCATAAATTATTTCAAATAAATTACATTTCATTAGTTAGATAATTTTACCAGAACTAAATTTTATTTTGTTTAAATTGAGTGGATGAAATCAACAGGTGATGATTTAACATTTATTTAAATCATTTTTAGAATCTTGCTACAGGTTGTTTCCTGTGTTTATTTAGCTAAAGGTTTAAAGCAATAACAGAAAGTTAAAAACGGTTTTATAGACCAAGATTATTTGCTCTAATGCTTCAAAATACCTGGATTTGTGCATTTCCTAACTTTTGTCTGTTGATTATCAAAATATAGAGGAAATAAATTCCCCATCTGTGTCATCTTCTTAACTTACTGAAGTCATACCGTTATGTGAAATGGAAACATCAAATATTTTGTGTATTTTAAGGAAGCTACTAGTTGGAAAAGATGAAATCACATTTTCATAGTGTTTTTGAATAATAGATGGTGAAGCTAAATTTACAGGTGCTGGTCATAAAATTAGAATATCATGAAAAAGTAGATTGATTTCAGTAATTCCATTTAAAAAGTGAAACTTGTATATTATATTCATACATTACATACAAACTCATATATTTCAGATGTTTATTTTGTTTAATTTTGATGATTACAAATGACAACAAATGAAAATCTCAAATTCATCATATCAGAAAATTAGAATATTGTGAAAAGGTTCAAAATTGATGGCCCCTGGTGCCACACTCTAATCAGCTAATTAACTCAAACCACCTGCAAAAGCCTTTAAATGGTCTTTCAGTCTAGTTCTATAGGCTACACAATCATGAGGAAGACTGCTGACTTGACAGTTGTCCAAAAGACGACCATCGACACCTTGCACAAGGAGGGCAAGACACAAAAGGTCATCGCTAAAGAGGCTGGCTGTTCACAGAGCTCAGTGTCCAAGCACATTAATAGAGAGGCGAAGGGAAGGAAAAGATGTGGTCGAAAAAAGTGTACAAGCAAGAGAGATAACCGCACCCTGGAGAGGATTGTGAAACAAAACCCATTCAAAAATGTGGGGGAGATTCACAAAGAGTGGACTGCAGCTGGAGTGAGTGCTTCAAGAACCACCACACACAGACGTATGAAAGACATGGGTTTCTGCTGTCGCATTCCTTGTGTCAAGCCACTCTTGAACCACAGACAGCGTCAGAAGCGTCTTGCCTGGGCTAAAGAGAAACAGGACTGGACTGCTGGTGAGTGGTCCAAAGTCATGTTCTCTGATGAAAGTAAATTTTGCATTTCCTTTGGAAATCAAGGTCCCAGAGTCTGGAGGAAAAGAAGAGAGGCACTTCATCCACGTTGCTTGAAGTCCAGTGTAAAGTTTCCACAGTCAGTGATGGTTTGGGGTGCCATGTCATCTGCTGGTGTTGGTCCATTGTGTTTTCTGAGGTCCAGGGTCAACGCAGCCACATACCAGGAAGTTTTAGAGCACTTCATGCTTCCTGCAGCTGACCAACTTTTTGGAGATGCAGATTTCATTTTCCAACAGGACTTGGCACCTGCACACAGTGCCAAAGCTACCAGTACCTGGTTGAAGGACCATGGTATCCCTGTTCTTAATTGGCCAGCAAACTCTCCTGACCTTAACCCCATAGAAAATCTATGGGGTATTGTGAAGAAGAAGATGCAATACACCAGACCCAACAATTCAGAAGAGCTAAAAGCCACTATTAGAGCAACCTGGGCTATCATAACACCTGAGCAGTGCCACAGACTGATCGACTCCATGCCACGCCGCATTGCTGCAGTAATACAGGCCAAAGGAGGCCCAACTAAATACTGAGTGCTGTACATGCTCATACTTTTCATGTTCATACTTTTCAGTTGGCCAACATTTCTATAAATCCTTTGTTTTTATTGGTCTTCAGTAATATTCTAATTTTCTGATATGATGAATTTGAGATTTTCATTTGTTGTCATTTGTAATCATCAAAATTAAACAAAATAAACATCTGAAATATATGAGTTTGTATGTAATGTATGAATATAATATACAAGTTTCACTTTTTAAATGGAATTACTGAAATCAATCTACTTTTTCATGATATTCTAATTTTATGACCAGCACCTGTATCTTTTATAGGTGAGAAACTGCAGCAGCTCCAAGGCTTAACAAGTATAAACCACTGGTGGCAGTTTCATGTAGGAGGTGAAATTAGCAAAACATGTCAAAAATACAGCAGAAAAAGAAAAAAATCAGAGACTAGAGACTTTGTTTTTGCTGGGAGTGTAGGTTGTGGGTGATGGCACACCATGCTGCGATTACCTCATGAATAATACATCATGATGCTAACCTGAAACTGTTTAAAAAACAAACAAGGCTGCAGTATTTTATACTTAAGTTACAGATGACTTTTAAGGCCTCTTAATAAAAGAACACTACCCATAGATTTAAGGAGCAGGCAGTGCCAGATGGATTTGTTTTGCATATAACATCAGCTGTTTTCTATTCTGACATGCAGGTGGTTGTCCTGCAATGAACCCTCCAGTAGACAACAGCTCCTGTGACCCTCCCTGTCTCAAGCCAAAGTCCTTCTGCAGTGAAGTAAGCCTTTAACATTCTTGTATCAAAACAAACCTGAGCCAAAATCTTTTAGAATCCACATCAGAAACCCGGTAAACCCAGTAGCTGAACCTGAAAGTGCAGGTGGCCCTGAAGACTGGCAGTCTGTCGCTTCCTACCTACAGGTTTGAATATAAATGATGGGAAAGGAAATGTTGGTGGCATCAAAATGTAAAATCCGTTTCTGAAATGTGTCCCTAAGCTATGCTGCACCAGAATAAGGAAGAGAAGTTTGCTGGCAAAACTTTCAATTTTTAATCATTTGTCCAGCCTATTTACTTTGTGTATTCTCTAGGTGCCTCCTTTAATCCCCCTTGGGGATGCATTAAGGTTGTTAAATGAAATTAATAAAAATATGACACAAGAATTAAAGCTACTTAATATGATAGCGACTTGATTATGCAAGAATATGGATAAAATGCTGTTTGGGATGAGTTTGGTAAAAATGGTGCCTTGCAAAAGTATTCATACCACCAGGACCATTTTAAAAGTTCTGTCAGAAAATCACAGCAACCTCTCTCTGTTTAGGGGGATATTATAACGCTAATTATCTTTAACTCTAGAGAAGGAATGATGCATGGTGTTAGTAAGTTCTAATCCTAGGATTCTTGTGTTAAATCGGCCAAATAAGTAAAGAGTATGTCACAACTGCAAACCTAAACTAAATAGTTGAGCTGGAGTGCATTAATAAGAAAAGTAACCTAGAAGTTCATGGTATGTTTGGAGGAGGCTACCAAGGCCAGGTTGAACAATCTGACAGAAAACCTATTAGTCATGCACTCCATTTAAGACTTAGCCAAAAGAAAAACCTTCCGAAGGAAAGAGTCTTTAGACTGGGGTGGAGGTTTAGCAGAAAGAAAATTCTTAAAGCAACCCATCCAGACCCAAATACATTCCTGGATCTGTGCAAAGAAGGTATGGACATTGCAGGAGAGATTTGAAGCTTATAGTACTGCAAGTTGGTTTTTTGTTGTTGTTGTTTTTGTATAGTATTGATAAGTATTGACAAGTACTGACTTATTTTTTTTTTTTTTGCTGATCAAAACTTACCTTTAAATTCCCTTGAGTGTTTCAGTTTCTAAGCCTGAAAAAAGCAGGAAAAGATGTGCCTCATTGATCCTTATCTCTTTGCAACTGTATAATTTGGGGAACTGATTAAACATCAACTTCCTATTAATTAACATAATTAACAAAACCATTATTTTAAAATTTCATCCAAAAGCATCACATTTTAGATGTTGATTTTCTCTTTTTATAATTTCCTTTGAAATTTAAAGCACATTGAAGTGGAAGCACAGCTAGGCTTGTATTGGCTGAGTTTAAACTGAGCAGTGAAAAGATGTTAGAATTTAAACAGATTATATGAATTCAGGGGTGGAAAAAGCAATTCCTTACCTCTGTGTGCTCAGTTTTTTATTTAGATTATTGAGAATCAGTTTCATATTTAATAGCCCTTATAAGGCTAACCATTGTAAATCTCACTAGAAAGGTCAAGCCCTAATTTTTAAAATAAAAAATTTAGAGAATCTGTTAAAATTATATTGTTCTTCTAAGAGTTTAATAGAAATGTGAAGACGTATCAGGAAGCATTTACTGAGCTACAGCTGTACAGCCTGTGATCAAACATTAACAAATCTATCTAGAATTTTGAGTCCTTCACAGGATCTCAGTACTTGAACTTTCAACCTACCATTCACATTCTTAATAAATGAAACAATACTTTGCACTGCCCACTGCAGGCTGGGGTGTGCATATGCGAGGAGGGTTTTACTGAGGTCCTATCTGCTGCTGGACAGTTGGACCAGTGTGCCCCCATCCCAATCCTGGAGATTCCCACTGCAGGGGACAAGAAAGGAGATGTAAAGACCAGTCGTGCCATTAACCCCACCATGCCCACCACCATCCAGCCCGGTCGCACCGGGCGGACCTGGTACCTGCAGCCCTACGGACCAGGTCAGTTCAGCACAAAAACAAAAAAATTTTTTTTTCTTTGTTTTTTATTAGCTTTGTTGCACTGAACTAAAAACATTTTATTGGAATGCTGCATTTTTAGATATTTAGTACATTTAAATTAACCAAGGTAATGTTACAGAGGCCATGGGAGATTATAAAAATAAACCTAGGTGTAATTCTGAATACATATTTGAGTTTGTGTTATCAAAAATAGGAAAAAAAATCAAAATATGACGTTCTAATATTCAAGTTTTAGTCTCTGGATCTTTAGAGGAACCATTTTCAGAGAACAGAAAGTTCAGTATTTGCAAAGCAGTATGGTGTCAAGCTAAAAGTGAACATATTTACACTTCCAACAGGGCATAAGGAAAAACTGAGACATGAACCATCACGTGGGTTTTTCATAAATGCACGTTGTGTGAATGCACTGACTACATGCCCTCTGCTACTGCTGGTACATTAACTTTTGAAAAGTGCATCTGCAAAGCTTCCTCACTAATCATTGATGGAGGGAAAAGGAAACATTTAGGTTGAAGGAACTCAGGATCCTATCGCATACATTAACCTGAGACTGATCTCAAAAATAGAGACAGAGAAATAAATTAGTCAATGAAAGAAAAACAAATCTTTAGTATGTTTTACAATTATTCTGCTTCCCTGAGTTAAAGAATGGCACAAAAAGGATGAAATATAAATGAAAACAGCTACATTTGGTTAGCTGAGTTGCACACTGAAGCAATACTGCCCCCTGTAGTCCAAGATCACAAATCTTTTACATTGATTTAACAGCTGTTTTAAATATGTTTCTACTCTGCAAATGTACATTTTTCTGTGTACAAGTTCTGCATGAAAATTAACTTTGCATCTCAAATGCTTTGCATAGATCTGTGTGATTCTGCTGAGGCCTGTCATTGCGTTCGAACTCTTTGAAACCTCTCTGCATTAACTTTAACCAAATAAGTATAGAAAGCATTCTTCCAAAGAGGGAAATATCCTTTCGCAATTATGTAAATATGCCAATCATGTGGAAATCAAAGGAGCAGCATGAGGCTGAAGATTTGCAGATGTATAAAATATGAGCATGTATAGTTTTAAGAGACATAAAAGTAAAATCAGTGTACATATTGTTATTGAGATATGCAATGACCATCTGACCTTTACAGCTACTGGTCTCCAGGTATCAGATAAGAATGTTTATCTATAATATTGAGAAGTATTTACTTACAAATCAATACTAAATAACATTGTGTTACTGCAGACACAGCTTTAATTGGTTTGTTTTCTGTATTGGCTTAGTTATTTTGGATAAAAATGTATCACAGGATATGTTTCTTTATTTTCTAAAGCAGCCATACAACTAGATTCTGTTCTGCTAGTAAAACTCACTGTTACAGCTATTGATATCAACATATTTTCTGTTCAATATATTTAATCTGTTTGATATTTTGATTTTGCAGTACCTAAAATAATATAAATTCCCAGCATATGTAATAGCCTTTACTTTTTCTGAATATCATCCTTGGTTTCTTAAAAAATGCAGCTAAAATGCACCTGAAGTTCGGAAAGTGTGACTTGGACTGACAGGGCATCCTCTCTTTTCTGGATTCTGACTGTTTGTGTTTTCTATAAATATAATAATTTTAAAATGACCACATTTTTCTGTCTCATAAGCTGCGGTAAGATCTAGTACTTCATTTAGAGAGTTGCCTTTTGTGTGCAGCAACATCAGTTGCTCCTGGTGAACTCCAGCTTCTACAGTACTTTTCACCAGTGGTCTCAAACTCAAATGGAGGGCTGGTGTTCTGTGACTTGAATGCGTGTTCCTTGCCCTACCTACCTGAATCAAAAGTTTAGCTTTATTCAGGTGTGTTGAGTTTTCCTCTCTACTGTTGCTAAAAGCATTCTTGGTGTGAGGGATTGCTTTCAAGTCAATGAGTCGAAGCAATCAGATGGTTTTTCTTAGATGGAAATCTTTGAACCAATTTGATGGTATTTACCTTAAGATGAGGTGTTGTGAAATAGTGCTATGTAAATAAACAAAATTGAATTACACCAGACGTTTATAAAAGCTACAGGACACAGTCCCTTAAAGACTGGAGTCTGTGAGTTTGCTTTAGACCAGGGGTGTCAAACCGGTTCCAGAAACGGTCGTGTGGCTGCAGGTTTTCTTTCCAACCAAGCTATAGCACACTAGACTCCATTTATCTCATCAAGTCATCATGTTCAGATTGCCCTCAGTTGATGAGATGATTGGAGTCTGGTGTGCGATTGCTTGGTTGGAAAGAAAACCTGCAGCCACACGAATCTTTCTGGAAACTGTTTGAGACCCCTGCTTTAGACAGTCAGGATGGTTTGATGAAAAATCTATGTGGTTTTGAAACTTAGAATTACAAACCTTGGTATATCTCGAGGCCATGCTAAGTTTAAAGCTGTCACTCATTATTGTAATCTTTAATTCTGGTCTCGATCAGTAAGTCTCCAGGTTTTCTGAAGGTCTTTCATTTGAAGTTTGGCTTTGTCACTCTTTGAATCCAGTTTTTGTACCCGACTGTCGCACATCTGGTTAAGAAAAAGAAAAAAGAAACCAAGTAGATGTTAAAGAAGCATTGACATAGATAACTCCAGGTAATCTTTCTAAGAAAAAGGTGATCAAAGATTTGACACAAACCTGATATTCTACTTCAGTTGATTGCCAATGATCCTTTCAAGATCAAAGGAAGCATTCAAACCTAGACTGAAAAATTAAAAAAAAGACAAAACCTTCAGAAACGGTTGAGAATTCCAGGTTTAAATTCTTCTGCTTGATATCCTGAATTCCAAAAGGTGTTTGAAAAACTGTACTGAGCTAAATTAGTTGGACTGTCATTGTTTATCTGTATACAATGTTAATTTTGATATCAAAGTAGATAAAACAGGAGCTAGAGAGTTTAAAAAATGACTAACTGATGAGCTTCCTCTTCCACAGATGGGAAGCTGAAGATGTGGGTGTACGGTGTAGCAGCAGGAGCCTTTGTACTCCTCATTTTCATAGTGTCTATGATATACCTAGCTTGGTGAGTTGATGAGTTTTATCTTCAGTATTTTTCATCAACCCCAATCCTGAAACCAAACCGCCTCTCATTATTATCCATCCCCCCTCCTTGAGTTCATCCGTGTCCCTCCTTCATATCATTGGCTTCATTTTTATATCATTTTTTTTGCTTCCTTTATGCGTTTGCTATCTGAGAGCAGCAGCCTTTGTGTCAAGGTACATCGCTCTTTAAAGGCCCAAGAATCTGACGCCAACGGGACGGTGGTGTGGAATGGCCAGAACTCTCATGAGATGGTTTATACCTGTCCCGAGTGCCAAGAGCTGGCTCAAAGCAATAGTAGCTAAAGAGGATGTGGAGGTGTCGGACCCACTCCAGCACCCCCCTCCACTCTAAAGCAGCAGCAGTCCCAGGGTTTCCCTGTGACTGCTCAAAAAAGTGCCCTATTTTCTGCCTGAGTAGCCGGGTGAAGGTACAGGTGAGGAAAAGTAGCTCCTCAGTAAACTTGTCATAGTTTGTATAGATCAGGGACGCCCAAGTCAAGTCTTCCACAGCTACTATCCTACAACTTCTAGATGCTTCCCTTCTCCAACCCTCCTGAATCAGATTCATGGTTATTTAGCAGGCCTCTGCAGAGCTGAGGAGGTTTCCAGGACAAGACTTGGGCACCCCTGTTACAGATCAGGCATCCCCAAACTCGGTCCTTGAGGGCCGCTGTCCTGCAGGTTTTAGAGGTTTCTCTGCTCCAGCACAGCTGATTGATAGTTGATTAACAGGCTTTTGCTCTACTGCAATCATCATAATCAGCTGTGCTAAAGCAGGGAAACCTCTAAAACCTGCAGGACAGCGGCCCTCGAGGAAAGAGTTTGGGGATGCCTGATATAGATCCTAATAACCCCCGTTTATTTAGGATGAATTATTTTCATAGAATCTAGTCCAAGTATTAATATCTGATTGACTTGTTTTAAATTTGTGTTTCATTTGTAATCAGGTGTTTGATAAAACATTCAAGTTTTATTTAGTAGTGAATAATGCCCCCATCTAAAGAAATACCAGCTAAAAGTTTACCCGTAAAAACTCCTGGACAATTATATACTCTAATCGTATGTTTTTTGTTTGTTTTTTCTTGGAGTAGGTATCCAGGGATATATCATAAAATGTTTAGCTGGTTCTTTAAATTTCAAATTGACATTTACACTTTAATAGCAAACATCATGAAGGGAAAATGATCAGCGGATGCAAAGTTAAACTGATCCAAATTATCAATATTGTAGGGATTTAAAGATACCTTGTAAAATTGCATTGTTACATTACTTATTAGGAAACATAACAGTTAGTTATGTCAATTCTTTCACATTTAGCACCGTTATTGCTAAATGCATTGAAAAAGTCCAAAACCCGCTATAAAATGCGTGCATAGGAGTGTTTTGGGTCCCTTATCAAAAGATAAACAGAGAATACAACAGCATTATGTAAATACTGTAAAAATGATTGCCGTACTTAATTTGGGAAGTCAATGTTCAAATGAAATAAATTATTAAAGCTAAGATACTAACTAATCAAACCTGACCTGGATAACTCCAGGTCCTCGTTATTTTTCTCCTCTGAGGCCTTACCTAAGCTAACTAGATATACAAATACTAGAAGCACTACTGTTTATTTATGACGATCCTCCCTGAACACTAAGCTGAAAGAAGATTGTTCGTTATAACTTTGATAGGAATGTAATGCTCTTGTTCTGTGGAAAATTGGGCAGCCCAGCATCAAGAAAATATTCATGCAAGTTACAGTAGATTAATATTTTAACACCAGTTGTAATGAATCATTACCTTCCTTAAGCTGCCTTCTGCCACCCAGTTCCAACAGGCTAAATCTATCTCTGTTGTACACAGTATGAATTCACACCAATTTAATTTTGATGTATTGTGGAACTCTAGCAAAAACACAAACAAGTGTGACTTCACAGCTCTTTGTTTTGCATTAGGACCAACTTCAATCAGATTAAGCTTAAGGTAGCACTGATTATACGCTCTCATGAAAGATCTCAGGGATTTTGGGAGAAATCCAATTCACATTTGTTGTATTGTTCAGTCAGTCCATGCTGGGCCACAATCAAGAACTATTTACTACCACAAACATTAAACACACAGTATTAAGTGGATATGTCGCTGGGATGATTCTTAGCTGCTAGTTAAGTATTTAGTAGATACTAAAAGCATAATTTTTCATCTCCCCATCTCATCTGGTCTTTTACTCAAATGAATAAAAGACCAACTTGTTATAAAGCCAGTCTATGGATTTCCAGGACACTAAGTTAGTTTTTCTGTTATATTTCAGTTTTTTGGAGAAGACTGCACTAAACTCTATTGTCATAGATCCTTTATTCTACTTTATCTTCTCTACATTTCTACAAAGTAAGTTTACTTATATGGCACAATTCAGTAAAAGGCCAATTCAAAGTAAGTTCTTAAAATGCATTAAACAAGAAAGTAAGAAAAATGAAAGCAGAATAAAAGCAAATAAAACAAACATGATAAAAGCAGGAACAGTATTAAAGTAAATAACATAATTGGACCACAAACCTAAACAAACAATACCTCAGTTAGCAGTTTAACTTCAACAGTTAAGGGCAGCCATTAACAAATGAGTTTTTTATTTTGACTTCAAAGAACTCAGGCTTTCAGCACTTTTCCAGTCTTCTGGGAGTTTGTTGTTGTTCTGGGTGAACAGAGTAGACTGGAGTGATTTTCAGACTAACAGAAATATTTTAAAGTCTATTCTCTGAGCAACAGGGAGCCAGAGGAAGGACTTCAGAACCGGCCCTATGTGTTCTACTTTGTTCTAGTGAGAACACGGGCAGCAGCGTTTTGGATCAGCTGCAGCTGCCTGATGGACTTTTTAAGCAAACCTATGAAGACACTTTCGCAGTTATCAGCATTACTTCTACTAAACATAAATGTATGAATGAGTTTTTCTAGATCCTGTTCGGACATTAGTCCTTTAATCCTGGACTTGTTCTTCAGGTGATAAAGACCTGTTAGCTGTCTTTAATGAGCCTCTGAAGTTTCAGGTCTGAGTCAATCATGACACCAAGATTTTGGCCATAATCAGTGGTTTCTAGCTATTGTAGATGAAGCTGTGAGCTAACTGTGGATCCCTCTTACTTTGGTCTGAAGATTATTACCTCAGTTTTGTTTTTATTCAGTTGGAGAAAATGATGACGCATTAACATACTGATCTGTTCTAAGCATCGAGCCAACGCTCTGATGGGTTCACTTGGATACATTGTGATATAAAGCTGTGTGTCGTCTTCATGGCTATAGAAACTGATGTTTTTAGCTATGATCTGAGCTAAGGGGAGAATGTAGATGTTGAAATGGCCCTAAAACGGAGCCTTGAGGAACCCCACATTTTTCTGTTCTCTGATGTGAGGTTCCCCATTGACAAACAGAAGTAAAAAATAAGTCAGATTTTTTTTCTAAAAGTTTAGAATCAGTAGCATAGTGGGGACTGGTAATATATATTTAAGGCTGTACAGTTTGTAACTGAGGAAGGATGTGTGTCATGGATAGGATCCAGGATAAGACAAAAAAAGACATTTAAAAAGATTTGCAGTCTACTTGGAGACAGCACCAGATATCATCTAATGTCATATACACCCCAGAGCATAGTGTCACCTTGGAAACACTGGAGCTCCTCTCAATCCATGTGGTAGGATGTCTGTTTCTGTGCTGCTCTGTTTAACATATGTTTTATTTTCGATAAATTATCCATTATTAAACACAGGAAACAGTAAAAGAAACAACAATAAACAAACCCACAATTTACCAAAAAAAAAAGCAATAGGCAAAGCTTATTGTTGCGTACGCCTGTTCTATACTTACAACCTACCAGGTTCTTCACAGTACGTATATAAATATTCAAATCTACAAAACAACATAGGCTTTTATCATAATAAAATCATCATTCAATTCATTCAAGTTTCACCCCAATAACAAACATATCTAGACTTTATCCGTCTCTTCTCTTTTGCAAATTCAAATATAAAACCACCTCGCAAATTATATTTATTCTCTCTTAACTCAAATAATTTCTGAATACCAGAAGGAAGACTTTTGTTCACTGCTTTATACATAATTTCCCGTATTTTTATATAAATATCTTTGAATTTCAATGTGTTGCTTTGAATTAAGAGTTTATCAGTTGGTTCACGGTATCCCACCTTATTAATAAGCCTTACAGCTTTTTTTGCAACTTAACTAACCTATCAATAATTTTTACTTTTATTAGTATTAGTATTTCCCCATACTTCTGAACACCCATGAACGTTTAACATAAGTTTTCAATATTAAATTTTCTGTTTGTTTATTTTTCAGATCCCACTTTTAACAGCAGATTCAAAGTCATTAGCTGAAAGTTACTCATATCGGCCTGGTTGTTTCAATTTCCTCTGAAGCATGATGCAACACTACCCCCTTGTGTTCAAATGATGAATTACAGTCTATCCCCCATTTCCTGTCTAAGCTTCAGTAAACATCTATCTTTAGCTTTATTTTAAAATGAAAACATATTATTCATGATCCCTTAATATCATTAGTTTAAACTTAAAGAGCAATGCCTGTTTTGAGAGTTTAATTAAAAACCTTTTCAAATATTTTGGCAAACGTATTACTCTTCAATTGTTCTAGAATAAACTTAACATATACCCATAAATATAAAAACATTTTTTTCAAGTCGCTTCTCAGTACTGATCAAGGTGTTGTTTCACATCTTATTGTACAGAGGGTTTTAGAAAGATATGTTTAAAGGAATCTAGATTTTAAATCTGTAAAACTAGTTATGTGGAAAATATTAGTCTTTGTCATTTTAGATTGTTCTTGGAGGATAATTTTACAGCACATTACTCTGAGACATGACTCCTGCAGAGCTGACAGCTCAGATAAATGGATGGTATCATGTCTTTACATCTGTCTCTAAAGGTCTTTCTTTTCCAGGAGGCAAAAGGAGCAGATCTAGCCAGTGAGGAGTTTTTACATGCAAATTTAATGACTTTAGGCTTTTGTAAAGATTCTTTTGATTCTTCTGAGCCGTGTAAGCCACTGCTTACTTTTTAAACTATTTATGCAAAGACAAACTGTACAGGGACCATTCCTTTTAAAGAGAAAATATTTCAAAATAGTATAAAATATGTATAATTTATTTCTAAAATGCATTTAACCTTGTCATATAATAGGACTGTGCAATTAATCTAGTTTATATTAATGTTTTGATTTCAGATCCAATCACAAAAATTGTAAAACAGATTAAAAATTTATTTTTAACCTATTTAGTTTTCTTTAACCTGTTACAACTTACATGGTTATTGTTGTTTTGTAAAAGATGGCCGAAAGAGACGCTTCAGTCTATTAAAAACTATGGTAGACCAGTCCATGTTGAACTTGAATTATTGGTAATTTAAAAAACAGGGCTGAATGACCAGTTACTAAAGGCGATGACTAAAGGAGGATTTAGCAAATGACAAACTTTGACTCAGTTCATTTATGTGAACATGTAATTTACAGGTAAATAAATTACAGCCTCTTTTGGTTGTCGCACTAAAATGTGTGAAATTCTTTAATATTATTGGTTGGGACCTTTGTTTATAATTTGTTTCCACTAGAATTTAGTTTTTATGTATTCTAGGTTCGAAGATTCAAAAAGAATGTCATAGTGCTTCTGGTGCAATAAAACAATGTTTTTTTTGTTTTTCCAATTTCAGGATTGTATTTAATACTAACATTTAAAAATCAGGTCGCAATTGAGGTGGAAAAAAAATCTGAATCATGCTTCAGGTTTTGTATACTACTTTATAATAAAAGAAAAGAAATCAGCAAGGCATTGAAGTTTTAACACTTAAATGAGCTCTCCAGGATCAGCTTCATAACTTCTTTTATTCCATCCTCATTTGCTTGACACTCATCATTCCATCCCCCTGATCCTGATTGTTAGTGAGTTAAGAGTCTCTAACCTCTTTTAATATTTCTTGCAGCAAAAAGCCAAAGAGACCTCAGAGACAGAGGCAGCAGAACAACCGGCTAAAACCTCTAACGCTCGCCTACGACGGTGACACGGACATGTAGAGCCTCTACACCCGTCAAAGGAGACCCCCTTCATTACGCCATGACAGTGAGGGACATGGACGTTAGAAGCGTGAATGGACACACAACAGAAAAAAGAAATCACTTCAAATCCTCTTAGCAAAGACACTGCTGGGTTAAATGGTTTCAGTTGAGCTTGATTAAGTCTTATTCTATTTTTCTTAACCAGAACCTTCATGACCTCCAGCTTGTTGAGTAAAAAGCCTTCTTAACCCCTGATGTGTCCCTTACTGAGACTCAGGAGTGTACAGTAGATGGGAGTTTCCATCTCTCCCCCTTTTCCAAACATGGCAGCACCAGATCCAACTCTTTCACCCCCGCGCTTTTCTGCTTGTCCCTGAAAATGCTGAGTAGCTGGAGGCTTTGGACGCTCTGACTGTTTGTATGTTGCCAAAAGTCACCGCAGGGAAGAGGAGGAGGGAGAGTAAAATCTCCATCAAAAGGTTTGGATTCCTTTTTCCCCTCAATCCTCAACTGGGTTTTGACTCAAATCTCTTTTTTTCAGTCTTGAACAAAAGGGAGGCATTTCTTCTCCTTTATTTCTGCTTGATTCAGAGGCACACAGGCCTGTGTTTTTGGGATAAACTGATCCATGTGATGCTGATGAAGAAGCAGCCCGTTATCACTTGCTGGCGGACACCACTGCCTGCCAGCCTCCACCCTTGCTTTGTTTCAGGCTCTACATTGCACTATATTAGTGCAGCATGATATGCATATGTGACTTCTACCTTCTATTGCCATAAAACACTGCCTCTACCACAAACAGAACCACACAGCAGAGGGACGACGAAAGCAACAGGGGAACACGAAACACAAACAGTCCAATAAAACAGGTGTGATCCACCAGTAAATATCTGTATAGATTTCATTATTTTGCAGCAGAGTTTTTGGTTTAGTAAAGTACATTTTTGTGGGTTCTTTTTAGACTCCGTCTGGTGTTTCCACTTTATTTTTACCCAGATGTAAGTGCGTTTAAAAAAAAACTGCCAGTTCTAAAACGATTTATTGATTGTTTCCCTGAACTAAAACATGTATAGGAGAGAGGGAAGTTTCGCAACAGCTTTGAAAGAGAAACTGAAGCCATTCATGTCATGCAAACATCATTTCTGCCTTAAAGATAATTAAAGAGCTGCTCTGAATATTTGATTAGGCAGATAATATACAGTACAAGCAGAAAAAATGACAAATTTTCCCTCATCTAGGCGAATCAGTTCATCTAGCTTTCACATGTAATACGCACATTATAGATGCTCTAATGTTACAGTCTCACTACATTGAGATGAAATATATAAAAGATACCCTGTACAAATGAACTATACAATATGTTAATAAGAATATGCCTCTGAGTTCAGTGTAAAAGCAAACTTGTGTGGAGAATGTTTACTTTTTTTCGTGAAATCTGTAAATAACAATGACTTTTTTATTTTTTTGGAGAAAAAAAAATGTGTAAATTTATTTTGTATTGCACAGAAAACGTTAGTTTGATTATTGCAAAGTGGGTGTATGATATTGCTGATTGTTGTAACCATGATGCAAGTTGTATGTTGTGACTAAGAAAAAAACCCCGAGGGGAATGAAAAGAGGAAGAGAGGTGGTTGTTCTGTACAGGTTGTTCATATATGGAAAGAGTTACTGAAAATAAATGCGGACACGGTTGTCAACATAAACATATTGTGACTGCGTCATTTTTGAAAATTAAAGTGTCTCAAAAGGCTTACTTTAAAGGAGATAAAAGAACAAGCAGATGCATGGGCAGTTCTAGACCTGTTATAGCCCCTGTAGTAAAGACAGAATACCAACTAAATGTATGATGAAAAAATTATATGTGCTAGCATAGAAACCGTACATGATAGGTCCCTTAGACCTATCATTTATTTATAATTTTTTCACTTTTGTTTTAACGATGATGGAAAATTAAGTTGTTGCACTTTTAGCTTTAAGGTACTGTGGAGGACTTTCGTGAATTTTTGTAAAGACCTGCGCTCTCATCTTTAAAAGAAAAAAAAAGCACATGCGCAGCCCTGTACCCGCTCCCGAGCATGCACACCCCAGATTCTAGCACGAGCTGTAGCCTTTTTGTCAAAGAAAGTCAAAATCATTTAAAGTTTTATTGTCCATAAATGACATCAACCACACAGAATAAGGGCGTTGATGACCCCTTGTAGATGCTATGACCGAATGATGCCAATAAGTCTACAAACTTTGTAAAGTTTAGGATCAACGCACTGATGTTTATAATGAATTTAAGAAGGTAAAGCAGCCCTCCTGTATCTACAAAAGAAAAGCATTAAACATACCAGACACTATCTGTCAAAATCTAGGAACTTCCACATGGCAGCACTGATCCAATGACTGCGGGAGAAAGGTACAGTACCAGTGACCATGCACAGACAGGAGGGTGTGGATGGAGAAATGCATTACTACACCTCTACCCTGCAGCCAATAACGAATGCATGTTCTAAAAGAAATGCTCACCACTAGACAGTTCCATTAGAAAAAGGAAATAGCAATTTATTTATTTATTCTCTAGTCATTCATGTGTTTTTGACATTCATGAAAACATTGTAAATATATTACAGATTTCAACATTTAATGGTGTTGATACAAAAAGTAAAGAATTGTGGGTTTTAAAAAATTTTTTTTGCTGACAAAAGTTAGGCAAAACTTTGTCAAACTTAGCAGGCTTATGACCGACTCTAGATATGTTACAAAGTTTTGGGAAACACTGAAATGTATAGGGCAAATAGACTACCAGTTAGTTTTTAAAGAAACTGTTTTATAAGAGTTAAAAGACTAGTTGTAGCTTAATGTCGGCTGCTTTGCTCTTTTACTAGCTAGGTGACTTTCCAATTAAACTGAGATCTGCCCTCTATCAGGACATCCTGAAGGAGAAGGCCAAGCCATCAGTCCATTACATTAATCTCAAGGACACTTGGGTTATGGGGCAGGACAATGATTGAAAGTATAACAGCGAGTTCACCATCGAATGGCTAAAGTTAAAAAGCAAGAATTGGAATGGCCTAGTCAAAGTCAACAACTGAATGATTGATGAAGTGGGACGTCACCTTAAACAATCTGTTACCGAAAATTCCTGCAAAGCCACTAGGAAGACTCACTGCTAGTTGTTGCACGTGCTTGATGTCGGGTTTTAGGTTTAATCCAGTTACTTTTCCAAATAGGACCAGAATGGATTCTTCATTTAAACTGGATCTAAAGCCAATGTAAACACATAACTCCGACCAGACTATTTAGATCTAAAATAAAAAAAAAGTGACAAAAGTGGGTAAGAGACCAGCCAAATGTAGGTATAAGCTGAGGGGGATAAGCAGGGATGTGAACTGAGTGAGGGAAAGTAACACTCAATCTGATGTAGACCTATATCAAATTACCTGTATAAATTCTCAGTCATCTGAGTCATAGCAATCACAACGCTCTACTGGAAGCCGAAATAATTAAAGACTCAGGGACAGGTTTCTAAACATCTTCAGAAAAATTGAGCTTAAGTGACTTCGGTGTTATGATTGGAAAGCTGATCACATCACGCAGAGCGCACACAGCAGCTAGTGATGATTTGTATCTCTGTTAATTTGTTACCTTTTTTTATCAGTGTTAAATTTAAGTATGAGGCCTTTACTCACAAGGCAAGGTATATGGTTTAATTAATTTAGCAGCAGTATTAAATCACTATCAGATATCGGCTGATATGCTCAGCCCATGTATCGGTATTCGATTGGAAATAAATGGATCAGATCTCTCTATCCTAAAAGCATACAGTGCATATTTTTATCTGAAAAAAGTAAATTTATGATCTAATTATTCTTTTAAAAATATATTTTCTGGATAACTACTCATTCTTAAAATTGTAAAAAAAAAAAAATGTCTTTAAACATTTTCCATACCTGTAAAAAGTCAAAACTAAGAAAAAAATTGAGCATGGAAAAAAATGTTTTAAATAAATGCAGTATGGAATATTTCTTAATGTTACCAACTATGTAAAGTTTATAAAATTACACTTTAAAGAATAAATATTTTGTAAACATTATTCTAGAGTTATTTAGAATAGAGAACATTTACAAAAAAAAAAAAAAAAAATGAAACAGAGGTGGTCTAAGTTACTCCAGATACGGAATAAAAGCAGTAAAACAACACTATACCTTAAAAAAGGAAGCCAGTTTCAGCTTCATTCAGTGCTTTATTCTTTATGAAGCCTACAAATGAGGTTTTTATTAAGTGGTTAAATATGTATATTGAGTAATCAACTGTTAAAAAATAAATAAATACACAAAAGAACTTCAAACGGTAAATGAATCAGATATCAAAAGGAAAAATAAAAGGTTATATGGCAAACACATATTTAAATGGAAAATGGGACACTTTTCTCTTGACATTAAATTTGGGAAGGGGGTCTCAGTGACAAGAGTAAAAGTTTTTTAAAGTATCAAGTTTCAAAGATAACATGCTCTGCACTCCTGCAGATAGAGAATAAAAGATGAGGGCATTTCCTTGGATAGGGAACAAAAGATGCTATCAGGCTGTTCTGCTGGGTCTAATGATTTTAGAGTCTTATCCAAACTCAGGATTGCATTTTGAAAGCCTCATTCATCCCTCTATGAGGTAAAGGGCAGAGTAATCAACATTATATCACTAAATGTACTGTAAATGCAGATTTTTCCAAAGATAAAACATTTTAAATGTATGTTAAAAAGAACACTCAGCCCCTTTGAGGGAAAGTTTTGTTGAAGGGGATTCTTTTTTGTTTTGTTTTTTAAGCTACAGCTCCTTCCAGCCTTATCACATTCCCTGCTGTACTCAGGTCTGGACTACTCTCTATTCTCTGATAAACTGAGGGGCATGTATTGATCAGCTGAAACTAATAATGCACAGGTTAATCCTCTTAACGAGTTTGATGATTTTTGAAACTCTTTGCTTGCCTTGGATTTATTTAGAGGCCTCAGAGTATAGGGGCAGAATACATATGGATGCCAATTTTTTTATGTTTGCATTTGTAAAGAAAACTGTATTTTTGTTTCCAGATAGAAAACTAAAGCTAAGAAAATCATATTGTCTCTATGGTGGAGGCACAGTTAACGATTTCCTCTCTTTTACAGATCCAATGAGCAGGTGCCTTTCCAGATGACCACCACTAGATGTCAGCAATTGATGATGCAAACAGAAAAGTTGTGTCTCAAAAATCAATAATGTGAGCCTCCTACCTTGTTCCCCCTCCCTCTTTTCCACTCCATTTCTCTCTCTGTCCTCCCCAACTCTCTCCCTTCTAGTATAAAACATCCCTCCACACTGACAATCAGACGTGAAAGCGCCTCTGTTGTGACTGCAGAGCCAGTTAAAGCAGCAGATGCCTGGATGACCCCTCCTGGATGAGCCTGAGAAGATCCTACCCTCCTTCACACCACCTCTCTCACTCTGAGTCTCCTCCTTAAGTTTAAAAGCTGATAACGACTAAGTCTGTAGGAGATTCTTTCAAGGGTTTTTTTTTTTCGTTTTGGAAAAAAATGAGAAGATCAGGGGAAGCTGACATGAGAGGGGATGCTCCACAGAGAGGCATGAAGACCACATGTCTGTGGGCCGCAGCTGCTCTTCTGTCACTCATCTCTCTTGTGAGTTAAATGTCATTCTGATTTGACCTTCTTCTGTTATTTATATTCTAGATTTTTAGATCTATATAAATGATTTGTGCACTCCTGAAATAAAAAAAAAAGCTTCAGTAAAGCTTAAAGTAATCTTTTCTGAATATTTCTGTGATGATTTAAGCCTTCTGTTCTGTTGTTTTTGACATTAATGACACATGAGGATCATAGTTCCAGAAAAGTCCTGTTTTTACAGCTTTCTAATACGTTTGCATGCAGACTTATATTTCCACCAAATGAAAGAAAATTGCCTGATTCCTTAAGAAACACCTTCCCCGCTGGATCTTCTTTAGCACCATCCATCCATCCAATAGTTCCCTTTTTCATTTCTCCAATTTGCAGATGTGGTTTGGAGAAAGTATATCTGACAGGGCGAAGGAGAACAGCCTGAGCCCATTATGACAAATACACCAGAATGCTTGCAAGCTCAATGCCTTGACAGTTTGTGACAACCCAATTCCTTTAATCCCCGAAGAGACGGTAACCCTTCACCCGCTGATAAATCTGTCAACAAAGCAATCAAAGCGGAGCAGGAGCCACTCCCCTCTCAGACATTAAAAAAAAGAAAAAATTCAACAAACTTAATCCCTACAAACTTGACTGGCCTTAAAAAGCTCCTGTGGTGTTATCTGTGTTTAATTTGCATAGTGATGGAAAGAAGTCAATTACTATTAATTATTCCCTACAACTTAATACCCATTATCGAATTGAATTCACCGTCTTGAAAACCATAAACTCAATTTCACAGCTGACTAAGCGCACTAATCATTTGCCCCCCCTTCCCTTCTTTTCTTATTTTATGGAGGCCATCATGCTTTAAAGGAAAACAATTCCTCGATTCCACAAACAACAACATTCCCTATCATCTGTTTCCCCCCTCTGTCACAATATACCGAAGACAAACATTAATTATTAGAGGTGGTCTAATTTCTTTAAAAGAAGCATCATGGAAGAGGGAGCTGATCTCCCAGCATCAGACAGGAGTGTGTGTTTTTTTTCCAGACTGGGCTGCCAAATTGCTTTGCCATGCTTTAATGGGATGATCATAATTGTTTCGTACTTGCTGCATCCTAAGCTTTCGCCTGCAGCTCCTTCAACAGATTGACAGACCCATGGGAACCTCACAAACTTATTTTGGCCGCCTTTGAACCAAGTCGTGTGTGAAATAATATGATTATGCATTTTTCCTCTGGGTAAGTTGGAAAACTAGTGGCTAAGGATTTTTTTTGCCCCTCTCTTCTCTTCCTTTCTACTTCCTTCTCCTCAAACTGCCCCTCGCTAATATCCTGCAGTCTGTCCGCGTACAGTATTTATCCTCCTCAGAAGTCATGGTGGGTAATCATGCCCTGGTCTCTTAAAGCAAAGCGGTAGCGATATGACTCAGTCTCCTCCTCAGCTGCCTGTGATGTCTCGACACACTTTGTGATTTGTCATCATCTCAGACCCCCCCCTCAGGTAACACTTTGATATCACTTGCTGAATGTGGACCTAAACTCTTAGTGGGTCTCAAATGCCCCCATTTGATCCATCATCTTGGCGACAGGAGTCCAAACCACAGAAGTTAAGTTCAGCCTAAATGAAGCCTAAAAAAAAAAACACTCCTTAACTACTTCCTCATCTTAAGAAACATAAAGGTTTCCATACATTCCAGCTTTCAGGTCATCCAAGAGTCCTGAATGTGATTTTAAAATAGGCTTTAGGTGTGAGGTGTGCTTCCTCCTGAAGCAAAACTCTAACCTCCTTACCCTTTAAGCTGATTTGATTTCTAACACCTGAACCCCACCAAGTGATCACATCTCCTGCATCCATTTGTCAAACCTCTGCCTGGACAGCATCTGTTAATTTTCCAAATACACAGCTCCCAATCAAGGCTCCCTCTCCATTCTGTTAAACCACAACTACAAATCTTCCCTCCACACACAGCAGCCAACACATCCAGGTAAATGAAAACTGACACACACTTTCTTTCTTCCTCGCAAGGTTTTTGTGTACGAGCCCACCGCAGTGCCACCCGGCTCCTCCGGCGGTTCTATTAACGGTTGGAATTTGTTGGTTGTTTGGGGGTCCGGCCCATAGAATCTTCTCCGAGCTCCCGGGGGAAACCGAGGATGGGGTGGGGGGGGGTTGTTTATCTTCCCGTTTCAAAGAGCGGACGCCTGCACCTTATCACAGCCTCGCCAAGAGTAGATAGTATTAAGGTTTGTCCAACAAGCCTGCCTGCATGCTGCATCTGGCAATCTGAGAGTCGTTTCCTAAAGGACTCCTGCATGCCGAAGCCGTTTGCCGTTATCTCACCGAGGGATTCTGCTTCGCAAGCTGAACATATAGAAAAAATATTAACAGGTAGTTAAATGGGCTTTTCAGAGGGTTGCAGAATGAACTGGAGGTAGAAATGTAGGAAAAGAAAAACCTGTAAAAAATGATTTGGAGAGTTGTTTAACATCTTTAGATTGTAAGCCCTAAATTTGAGCGATTCTGTGGTTAAAGGTCAGTTTGCCTTAAAAAATGTTGATTTATATTAATTTGAAAAGAGAGCGTTTTAGGAAAAACAGTTTGAGTGGCTCAAAACATGAAAGGAACTCAAATAGAAATGTTTTACCTGCAGCTTTAAAGCAGCTGGGTTCTTCTATTTGTTATTCTGACAGATTTTAGAACGTGGTTAAACTTTTGAATTGTTTGTTTTTTATAGCTTGTCTATTCCTGCACATTTTGAGCTTAAAAAATAAAGTGTGCTTTTAATTCATTGAAACTGGCAAAAAGTTTTATCCGTAGTTATTTTATGAGATGCAGACGCAGGACTATGCATCTGTGATTTTTAACAGTTTATGGACAACGGGGAACCTTTGTCAGGGATTGTTCTGGTATTTTAGGGAAAAAAAGAAGGATCCCAGTCTTATGAGTGATGCTGATAGATGCTGATATTGTGCGCTAATGAAGTGAAGACTGTAGCTGCTTAATAATAAAAAGTGTTTAGATTCTTTCATTGAAGACATTTCTATGTGGATTTCCTTTTCCGAGTAATTAATGTGAACATGTTTCCTGGTTCTTTGTTGTAGGCGTTAATATTTACTTAGTCCCACTACATTGGTTTTTATACTTGTAAGATATTTCATGGTGTGAGTTTTAGATTATTTATACATTTTTCTTCTCTGTAGTGTTTTCTCTTTGGAAATTAACTGACAGATTCATCACTTAGCCTTCTTAATCAGACCCACATTGATTTCTGATGATGCAGATCTCATTTTAGTGATGGATTTCCCTTGATATAAATATATATATTTTTAATGTTGCAAAAAAACTTAAAATAAAAGTGAACTTGATCTGGTTCCTAAATGATCTTCAGCTCAATCTTTCCAGACTTAGCAAACGTTTTAGCATTTATTTTCCTCTGCATTTTGATACAGAATAAGCTAATTGACTGTATGATCTGGTGAACTGTAAAGTGCCTAGAAATGACATGTGTTGTGAATTGGCACTATATAAATAAATAAACTGAGCTTTAACGCAATCTTTTTTCAGGATAATATTTACACCTGTCATATTTTTAACACTTATAAAGCTTTCATCTAATGACATGTTTTAGATTAAGTTTCCGTTATAAATTACATTTTATGTTTTTAATAATAAAATTTTACAGATTAAAGAACCTGATCTTTACATATTTAGTTTCTAGTAGCGATTTGGTGCCACTTTTTAAAGAGAAAATGTCTGTTGTAGTTACAGTAAAAAAAAAAAAAAAAAAAGTTATAATTCAAGTTTTATACAGAAATTATCAATTCAGTCCAACAATCCAATTAGTTTGTTAATTGAATACCACTTTGACTATTTGCCAAACAACATAAATGTACCAAGAAAGTTTAAGATATTATATAAACATTCTGGTGGTTTAAAATATTTAAATTAAACCATCTTTGCTGCTAGACTTTAGGATCACATTGGCCAAATGTTAAAAAGTTTCATATGAAATTAATAATGAAGATTAAGTGTAGGTGTATTAAGTGTATTAAGTAGCAATTTCACCTTTAATAAACTTGGGAATCTTGTTTATCCTTGTCTTATATTCATAAAAACGATGTATTGACAAACCAATATCAGTTAAGCCCAGAGTTATCAAAGTGTGACTGTTGACCTTTACGCTGCCAGCTTTGTTGTTCCATCCTGCAGTTTCTCTTCACTCCACTCGGGAGTATCTCTTTCAGGCACATTCACGCCTCCGACACACACTCCCTTTGTACCTCGCTCAAGTGTTTCTCCAGCCGAGCATAAGGGAATCTTGGCCCGCCGTGTGCTGGTGCATTCAGTCGAGGTGTTGCGGATGTAAACGTTGCTTAAATCAGGACTGCCTCAGATCTACCTAATCTCCCCAGGCTGGATTACAGGTTGGGCTCTAATCCGTGAAGTGGGGGTCTCTGTCAGTGTGCTTCCCTAATCCAGAGACTGTCAGGTGCTTTAGATGAAAGCTAATTGCATGTCACAGTTTGGGGACCAAACATAACGCTGGCAACAACAGTGCAGAGCTTCTGGAGCTGGGAATTAGGTCTGAGGATGACTGGGCACACACACTTCAGATGTACTCAGGAAAATGTGATCATCTTTGAAGAAGAAAACAGACTTTCACTCATATCGAACATTAAGTTACTCAAAACAAGAGTAAAATATTGTTTTTATTATTTAAAAAAGTGTGCGCCAGTGGAGTCCCTGATAGGAGCTGTATGCTTCAAAAAATATTCACACAAACACAAGTCCTACTTCCAGTGATAAGTCTGACAGGCATTTAAACCAGCTTTGACTTGCTCACTAATATCCTTGGATCTGGTTTCAGGATTCCACTGAGAGCAGAAACCCAGTTACAGCGACGCATCAGTAATTACTGAGCTACCAAAACGATATTTCATTTGGTGATTAGAGACTACAGTCTTTCAACAACTCAGAATAGATATAGTCATGAGAAATAAATGAGCTTTACAGCTTGGATTGCCAGACAAAGGTCCATTAGGAGATAGTTTATTCTTTTACGATTACGGAAAGGGTCTAAAATAAATTAAACAGGCGTGGGAGCAGTTTTGCTGTCATTTGACCTTGGTATTTCCTGCCAGATCATAAACACATTGTTCAAAGTTACCTGTTGTAATTTCCTTTCAAATCGAACCATTCCAATATGTTAATTATAATATATATTTAAATTAAAAGAAAATAAAACTTTTCTCCCTCCTCACCAAATTCCCTGTGTCTGTAATGAATACATCCCTATTGAAGCTAAAAAAAAATGTGTTTAATTAACATTTTAACTGTAAAACTTCTACTTATCTACCTGTTCATTTTATCTCCATATGTTTCGCTCTCACTTTTGGCTAAGACTAATAGTTTCTATCTTTAAACACATTTACATTTAACTCTCAGCACCAGGTTGCTGAGAAGAAACATTCAGGTTGAAAGATCACATTGCCAGATATCACCGTTTGCTTTCATCGGGACATCTGTCATCGAGACCTCTTCAAAACAACTGGAGGCCATCTTTTCAAACTGCTGCACTCTGAAGCAAAGCGCATGAAATGAACGCATGCTTCTGGAGGAGGATCACAGCTCCTACTACAGTTTACTCTCTGAGAACACTGCACACAGTCTGACCTACACTGCTACAATGTCATTCTTTGAACTTTCGCAAAGAGAGAAGACCTTATTCCCAGCACATCGATCGCAGGGTGAAAAGTACAAAATGTAAACGCTTCGACCAGATGGATCTACTGTCACACTGGCTGGCTGCCGGGTGGACATCACTGTCTGTGGGGTGTGAGGGAAATCTTCGCGCTCTCATCTGTGTGATTGTTAAACGAGAGGCAGAATGAACCATCAATCATCCATTCAGGGCACATTCGGCAGGTAATAGTCCGCTGTTGGACCACGTCTCCAAGACGCTCGTCATTCATCTCAGTGTATAACAGAAACACCCCTTTAATGTTGATTAAGACATTTTCACATGTGTGAGATGTAGTTATACCTTTAAATGATATGTTACAGGAGCTGACGGGCGGTGGTGGTGGGGGGGGAGCACGGCTGTAGCTGCTGCTGTTTTCTTGGTTTTCACCAATAAGGATCATAGATAAATATGGAATTATCAATTTTTATTTTTTTTGAAAGATTCTGCTTCCATACATCCAGCTATATAAATCTCAAAAATGTTTTACAACATTCACAAGAAAACTTGACTTTTACATACAATTTTAGACCGACTTAATGCAGTCGAAAAGAAAAATAACTACAGCAATAAACCTAGCACACCCACCATCCACCGCTATTTGGTTGGAGGCTAAAAGTGTGATATTAAATCTAGAGTTTGAAAGTAATTTACAGAAAAATTTACATAAAGGTTTTTTTTTCCTTCTCTTTTTTAATTACTCTCTTATATCCATTGTCATTTTTTTTATTTAACTTGGCTCTTATTTAATACAGATACATGTATTTTTGGAGCAGCTTGATTTGCAGACATTTTTAGAATAAGCTGAATTGATCCTAAAGCTTTGAAACATTAGTTTAAGGATCTGAATTAATTGTTTCTTATAATGAAAATCTAAATTCTAAACATAAGCATTAGAGATCTTTTAACAAAGCTAACAAACTGAATATGTAAAGACTTCTGATGCCTTCACTGTTTTACCATTCAGAACTAGTTTTGCTTGGGTTTGGGAATATTGCTCCAATATAAGTGGGAATGTCAAACCTGATTAAATTTTTATTGTAGCTCCACCAAACATATTATTCATAAAAAAAAACTTAATTGATTAGCCATTCTATTTATCAGAAGACTAGTACACCGTGTGGGCTGGCAGCTTGTTCAGGTCAGACTTTGCCCTTTGTCTTCTTACTCCTTGGATAGGCTTGAGCCTCTTTTCCTTTAATCCTGAACTGGAATAAAGGAAGTTGCAGACATCAGATGAATTTTACATTCCCATCCAACCACCATTTAGACTTAATATTTCACCTCACATGCAGGGTGGAGAGGTATTTGATATACTGCAGATTTTGCAGGTCATTCCATTTGCAAGCCACGTAGAATTTACTTTTTTTTTTTTATCATAGGTTGTTTTCAGTAGTGGGTAACTGAGTCTAATCCGATAAATTCCCTAAGTCCATTTGTGTGATTTTTACATATTTCATTTCCACTACATAACAGAAGTACAGTGTTTCATTTTCGGTGACATCTAATGGACAGACAACACACTGCAGTGAAATGAGCAAAGGGACTATGCATGTGGTGGTATACTTTGCTACTAACAGTCTTTGTGACTGTGACCTCAACTCTCTTCAGGTCATTGATCAGGTCCTGCTGTGTAGCAATTTGTCTATCCCTCACCTTCCTGCTGATTATTGTTGCCCCACCAGATGAGATCTACCATAGAGCCGCACACTAAGTTCTGACTTCTTTAACTTCTTCCATTTTCTTACAACTGCTCCAACAGCTGTTTCCTTAAGCCGTTTGCCTATTTCCCTGTAGCCCATCCCATCAGGTCTAGTATTCTATCCCAGAAGTCCTTACATAGCTCTCTGGTCTTGGCTTTTTTGGATAATGCGGGTGTCTTGTTTACACAAATACTGTAAGTTAAAACCGGTGCACAGGTGATGAGTGGAGGACTTTTAGACTAGAACTAACAGGCCTCTGAGAGTCACTATTACTGGTTGATAGGAGTAAAAATACTTATGTCGTGCTTTGAAATGTATATACATAACTTAAAAAAAATTAAAAAGAATGTGCTTCTACATGCGATGGGACAATCTGCAAAACTGGCAGTTTATTAAATACTTGCTACCAACTGTATGTTCTTTAGACTCTGAGGGAAAGATGTAGTAGCTGAGATGGGCTGACACAGCTTCATAGAGAAAAGCATAAACTGAGATTCACACCTTTTTATTGAGAAACCTGGACTCACTGTACTGTCAATAAAAATCTGGCTAATTTTCAACTGGGATTAAAAAGTACAGTTGAGACCACAAAAAACATGCCAGCCCAGCTCAGTTACAACGATTTAGATAAAATCACCCTAACTATGCAGAAAACACACAGTGTTACACTACAATATCACCAGGTGTCTATGTACTCATTTAAGTACTAGGTAGTTGCATGGAAGAACTTGATGCATGGATGCGCCTTAATTTTCTTTAGCTGAATACAAACAAAACTGAAGTCATAATTTTGGACCAAAGAAGAGCGATAATGGTAAGCCAGCAGCTGTAAACCAATGATCAGGCAGAAAATGTAATTATAGTGCTATACTCAGTTCTGAACATTTAAAGGCACATATAAAGAATTAGAAAGTAGACCTATCACCTGAAGAACATTTCTAGAATTAAAGGAATAATGTCACAAGATTGGAAAGATTATTTCACGAGCTTAGCTTTGGTCACTGCAGTGGTGTGAAAAGTGATTGAAAAGTTGATCATAGAGCTGCCGTGTATCCAGAATGCTGTTACCGGTGTCCCCATTAAAGTCGAGCACATCAACCCATTTCTAAAGTCCTACACTGGCTCCCCATATCTCAGAGAGTAGTCTTTAAGATGCTTCTCAGTCTAAAATTCACTAAATGGCATTCACAAAAATATTTTACTAATTTGATTCAAGTCTATGCCGCATACCTGGAACCAGATCAAATGTGATACAGAACCTTTTAGATATGCTCCACTAATCTGGAACAAATTTACTATAAAAGAGCTGAAACCCTACATTTTTTCTAAATCAAGGTTAAAAACTTATTTGTTTAGAGTTGCCTGTGGATGTTATATTTAAACAGCCCACTGCTTCCCAAGGGGGTGGGTTAAATGCAGAGGTAAATGTCTCCAATGTGAGATCAATAAAGTTCAATTATTATCAAACTGCCAACTGAAAGTTTTGTCTAAAGCCTAACTTGTCTTTAAATGTCCTTAATATGACAATGACATTTTCTTTCCTGTGTTTTTATTATGTTTTATTCATGTATCATGGGTATTGGTCAGTAAAATCTTTGTAGTTCTTTACTGCCAATATTCATTAAAGTTATAATTCAAAATGGTAATAGAAAGATGCCAAGGATAATGAAGCTTTGCTCACTTAAAATTATGTTATTTATCTTTTGATCTCCAGTTGAGCAAACAGATTCCAATGATGTTCTCGAGCTGAAGGCTCTATTTAACCAATCATGTTTGTCTTTCCAGGTGACCAGTGCTGATTCTCCAAACTCAGGAAGTCCAGACTTGAGACAGAGCTCCAAATCCAAAGTAAAAACCTACTGGACTGAAAGCAACAAGGCTGTCTCCATAAGTCGTCTCCTGTCTCAAACCATCTATGGAAAGGAGAACTTTACCTCTGTGGATCTGAACTATGATGAGGCAGACTCCTACTCTAAACAGGAGCAGTGGAACTGGCTTTACAACATTTCGACTCCACGTGATCCTCGATCTCGGACAAAAAGAAGGCCTATTGTCAAGACTGGGAAGTTCAAGAAGATGTTTGGCTGGGGTGATTTTCATTCCAACATCAAGACTGTAAAGCTGAACCTGCTCATCACAGGTAAAATTGTGGATCATGGAAACGGCACCTTTAGTGTCTACTTCCGGCACAATTCAACAGGCCAGGGCAACGTTTCTGTTGGGCTCGTTCCTCCAACAAAGGCAGTGGAGTTCCAGGTCCACCAGCAGCATCAGCACTTCCACCATCATCACCAGCAGCAGCAGACGGCCCTGGAGACCAAGGACACCAAGCTGTTCAACTGCAGGGTGGAGTATGAAAAAGTGGAGAAGGGCACCAGGAACTCGCTGTGCGCCCATGACCCCTCACAGAGCTGCCCACAGGAGCAGACCCAGAGCCATGTGTCCTGGTTGTGCTCTAAACCATTTAAAGTCATTTGCATCTTCATTACCTTCTACAGCACTGACTACAAGCTGGTGCAGAAGGTGTGTCCGGACTACAACTACCACAGCGACACCCCTTACCTTCCCACCGGGTGATCACATGATCAAACAGGATCCAAGAAAAGACAACGGCTGTGGCCCGGATCCATTTCAGAATCCAATTCCAGATGTTGACAGATTTTCTTTTATATCCTTGTGACAAGATTGATATGATTCCAGTGAGGAACTCCAGCCTGAGGTCGTTGTGAAAGCATCTAGGGAAGCACTTCTAGGCTTGCAATACCCATATTATATGCATAGCTGCTTACATGGAAAGGAATCTCTCAAGCCAACTGTGAGGGTGTGCTGATTGTATTATGTAAATATTCTGGACCCAATACAAAAAAAGACCACAAATTTCTTAATGTTTTTCCTCCTGCTAATTTACTTGTTTATGTTGATGGTGTATTTCCGTCTCAATCATGCTTTGTGTCTTCTTCAATCAGTCTCTGGTAATCTTTGCAAACGCATAAATGTCAATGCAAATAAGCAGAATCTGTCAGTGTGTGTTAGAGGGCGTAATGGAAAAAGCAAACATATTTCGAGTGGTGTTGTTTTCTGCAGTGTGGTTCGTTAGAGTGAGTATATCTCTCTGATATCGTTGTCGGACTCTCATCCATGTTCATGCATGAACCGAATGTGGTGAATTGCTAAATAGGGCCCTTTTATATTGTCATTTTATTGCACCTGTCAAAAGAAATCTTCGTCAAGTCTCAACTGTGACAGGAAACAAGGAGAAAACAGTACTTTTGGTTCAATTCTGTGTCGTCTGTTTGGAGGTTCTTGGGCGGCACTGAATGACACCATCACGGAGCTCCAAACAGATCAAAAATGTTGCAATAAATGAATAAATACTGCAGAAGACATGTAAGATGACAGAGATACAGAAGGTTACTTTCTGTGCAGTGCTTTAAAAATATTCTAAAATAACTGTGTTCTAAATCTGCTCCTTTCTTAGTGATGAATTTAATTTTTCTTAGGAATTTAAATGTTGCTTTTCTGTCTGTTGCATAAAACAAGCATGCTGTAATAAAATTCAGCTCCTGCTGCACAACAAGGAGCCGGTTGTGAAATTTGTAATAGCAGCTACAACCCTGCAGAAATGACGTATCCATTTTAGCACGCTGTGATAATCATCTGCACCAAATAGTAAAAAGAACAGTTTGTTTAAAAATATAGAATAAAATGAAAACAATGAATGTCAGATGATATCTGTAGGTTCATTTTAAAAACGCAATAAAAATCAAGATTCATTCTCCAACAGAGGGAATGCGAATTAAAACAGCAGGCGCTGATCACATATCAAATGTTTGCACCTCTGGTTATCAAAAAAAGGCAGATTATGCATCAGACTAACACTTCTGCTAATGACACTGGATGTTGCGATCAGCTATTAAAGCTTCATTACATAAATTGGGAGCCAATGGCTCCATGCGAGGCATTTGGAGAAAATGAACACAGTAAAAGAGGGAGCTCTGCAGAGTCAACAGCAAAGAGTAGAGAATGAATTAAAATGCCAATAGGAAACCTGTATGAAAAAAAGAAAAAAAAAGTACAAATGTGGACCTAGGGGCACAATCACTGCTGTCTATTTAAATTCAGTCTTCTTTCACTGTGTATGCAGTCGTATGCACGCCGCTGTTAATAGCAGCCTGGACCACTTCCAATATGCGAAGGAGGGCTGAATTTTCTGACAAGGCGGCCTAAAGAACTCATCTGCCAGTGGGATGAGAGAGCAAAGAGGAATTTATGATGTGGAGAAACGAGGCTGGCAGAAATCACTGGAAACACCTGACTCGTAAATTGAGAGCATGTTTCTGTCAGTGAGAAGAAGGAATAACTAATGTTTTAGATTGCTGCTTGGGCCAGTTCTTTCATCTCAATAAAGTGACTTTGATAGTTTGCCGCCCATAGAAAAATGTGCCAGGGACAGTTTGTTAAGCTTCAAAGAATTAAAGCGGCACTTTGCTAAGACAATGCAGCCTCATTATGCACATAATCTGGCAAGTGTAAACAGTCTGGAAGGGAAATGTTGGGTGTGAGAGCTGCTAAGAGACAACTGTAATAGCATATTTTTCTGCGTACCCTTTAAGACCCTGACAAAAATAACCGTATTAGTGACAAATCAAAGATCATAGAAATAAAGAAGGCTGTGATCGTTGATTTAAACCTATGAATGGATCAATTGTTTAGTCTTCCTAAACCTGGTTGCTTTATGAAGGGCTACAGCGTGAAAATCTTTGCCAAGTCTGAGGGAAGATATAATGACTTACTGAACCCAAATATGGTAGCATCCAAAAAGACTCTTAATGGATAAAATATGGGACTTTTTTCTGATTTATTTAAATCACTAATTAAATCTGTGATTTTTCTATATTCATTAAAGACATCCCGGGTTTGGCAAACCTAAAATACTACCTCTATTAAACTCTCTTAAACACTGTCCAATGGTTCTGTCAGGGCTCCTATGTCAGCTGACCTCCATTCACTATTTTTATTAGCTGTTTGGAGGCCTCTTCTCTAACTCATTACTTGATTCATCACATCACATCTTATGCCCCCTGTGTCTGCTTTACTTCACCCAGATTGGTTAGATATTTTTTATTAAATATTAAATATGTCTAAAGTAACAATGTTTAGTAGATGGAATATTTTTTCTGTCCAAAAAAAATATTCTACGCTAACTAAGGTAGTGGCATTTAAAGTTAACATTGGCTTTGGCACGTTTAAACCGCATGTTTAAGTTTGAACCTCAGAATGAAATTTCGGAGACATTCTGAGTTTTGCTAAATACTTTTAAACTGTTATAACTTGAAACAGAGACACACCTTAATGCAGGGGAGGTGTGCTGCCAGTATTAGAAATGATATCAAAAATGTATACTAAACTGTTATTTAGCCGACTAATCAAATAGTTTTCACAGAATTATTTTATCTCAAAACTTAAGGTAATTCAAAGTTTTAATTCATACCACACATTTAAGATTTTTTTTTACATTATTGATCGCTTACTGCCATTTTTAGAGGTGTTTAAAAATGGCTCTTTGTTTACATGATATTTTTTGCTCTTAAAGTTCGATCCCAAACAAAAAAAGTTTACTCCGGAAGTTTTAAAGAATACCGAAATGATCAGCAGACTTAATACTTAAACCTAATTTAATGCCTTTGGTTTATACCGTCCCCAGAGTGCTAATCCTAACATTGCTGGATGAGAAACCTAAACTTAAGTTTAGTGGATTTAATATGACTTCATTAAATTACTGCTGGGATAGAATTTGATTTCACAACCAACTTCTAATGTGTAAAATTCCCGCTGCAGTACGTTACTCTTGTTGAATCCAGCCAATTCCAACGTGTACAGTAGCAGGCATGGTTGGCATTTTCCATTAATGATTAAGTGACATTATGCCATAGAGAGCTGTTTCCAAACAAATTTTCTTTTTGTTTTTACCCTTGTGTAAACAAAATGACAAATAAAATCTGTCTATGTCCAAGTCTAAGATGACGACAGAGGTGGATTAATCAATTCAATACATAGTTTCTACTTTAAAAGAGTCGGTTGGCAAAACTAGTTGCATTTATTCACATTTACTTGAGTAACTACGGGAAAAAAATTGTACTTTTAGGAATAGATGTACTTAAGTGTATTATTAGTAACTCAGGTTACTCAACTATCTAAGAGTAACTTGAGCTATTTAAGATCAGGTAAATATACGGTAAACAGTAAATATTTTTGGTCTAACTTATTTATCCTTTCTTAAATAGCAAAAAATTAAATAAAGGGAACCGTCAAATAACACATCCTAGATGTAAATGAAACATTCTTCTTGAATACTTTGCTCTGTACAAAGCTGAATGTGTGCTGACAGAAAACACAATTAAAGAGGAAACACTATAGGAAGATTCCACTTTGATGTAATTTTCTTAAAACGGGCCAAAATGAGGCTCCAAATTTTGTGTGGCTTTAACATGACGGTATGACCGCCCTACAACGCCTGGGCATGCACTGATGAGGTGACTGATGGTTTCCTGAGGGATCTCCTTTTAGACCTGGACTAAAGTATCTGCAACTCCTGGACAGTCAATGGTGTACTGTAACGTGACATTGGTGGATGGATCAAGACATGATGTCCCAGATTTGCTGAATCTGATTCAGGTCTGGAGAATGGACCGCCCAGTCCATAGCTTCAATGCCTTCATCTTGCAGGAACTGCAGACAGACTTCAGCCAGGAGGTCTAGCATTTTCCTGAATTAGGAGGAATCCTGGGCCAACCACACCAGAATATGGTCTCACAAGTTGTATGAGGATCTCATCTCCGTATCTAATGGCAGTCATGCTACCTCTGGTGTGCACCTAGTGTGCTGTGCAGCCGTTCCAAGAAATACCACCCTACACTATTACTGACCCACTACCAAACTGGTCCTGCTGAAGGATGTTGCAGGCAGCAGATAGCTCTCCACGGTTTCTCGAGACCCTTTCACATCTGTCATGAGCTTAGTGTGAACCTGCTGCTGATCTTTTAAGAGCACATGGCACCATTGGGGAATTTGCCAATCATGATGTTCTCTGGCAAATGCCAAAAGGGTCCTGCACAGTGTTGGGCTGTAAGCACAATCTCCATCTGCACGTCGGGCTGATACTGTACCATCTTCATCGAGTCGGTTTCTAAAAGTTTGTGCAGACACATGCACATTTTTGGCCTGCTGGAAGTTATTTTGAATGGCTCTGGCAGAGCTCCTCCTGTTACTTCTTGCTCAAAGGCAGAGGTAGCTAGGCTGACAGACACAGCCAACCTACTTGCCACAGCTTCCATTCACATGCCATACTGGATGAGTTGTGCTACCTGAGTCACTTGTGTGGGTTATAGAGTCTGCCTCATGCTGCCACGAGTGTGAAAATGCTACCAACATTCAAAACTAACCAAAACATCAGCCAGAAAGCATAGATACTAAGAAGTAGTCTGTGGTCCCATCCTGCAGAACCCTTCTTAATTGGGTGTGTCCTGTTAATTGCCAATACTTTCCACCTACTGTTTAGGCAATTAGCATAACAGCATGTGAAATTGATTGTCAATCAGTGATGCTTATTTATTTATTTATTTTATTTTATTTATTTATTTATTTTTTGAGAAGTGTATGTGCATTACTTCACTGTTAACGATCACTTTTAAAAGTTTACACTCAAAAGTTATTTAGAAAAGTGTTTCTTCTGCCGGGGTTTGTTATTTTCTAAACATATCTTTTTCTATTTCTTTTTATTTTATACTCTAAAATACCAGAATTTGCACATTTCTGTTTTTCTGGTTAGATCATTTTAAACATTTATTCAGAAGATACAACAGAAGTTACTAAGTACTTTAGTAGCCATTTTACCATGTATTTTTTCCCTCTTGAGGAAAATGGATAATAAAATAGTGCTAATCTCAATTGAGAAATACATTAGTTACTTAGTTAAATTCACTCATAACAGGGAATTTCGCAAACTATTCTGATAACATTTTTATTCTATATGATCCATTCCCTGCTTATTGAGCCAAAAAGCTCATAAGGCATAGGAAGTGATTTTAAAGTATTAAAGGAAAATGAATCCTTAAAAAAAATTAGAATTTAGAGTTTCACTACATTATAAATGCAATCCGTAATAAGCTTGATTGTTTTTCTTTTTAGAATTTACCTTTTTGTAACTATAATCATACCTTTAATCTATAGTTTTGCTTTTCCAAAGTTGCTAAAATAAGTTTATTATATTAGCCTTGGAAGTCACCTGTGCAATAATCAGCACTATATATATATTCAGAAAATGATTCTGCATAAGATTTATAATTTGCAGACATTTTCATGACCAGCTGTTTTCAGGCTCCATCACTGGTCTTTTCTTGTTATCAAATGTGCAAAATTAAGAGAAAACATTGAGAAAATATTAAATACTTATTTTTCCTTCATGCATCTGTGACAGTGAGGGGACCTCAGACTGCAGGGGCTTCTAATAAAGTCATCCTTAATTGCAGTAATACAGCTGTGTACTATTAACATTAGGAAGGGGGGTTTAAATATAGAAAATTAGCCTCTGAAATATTCTTGGTGGAGCTTGGATTATCGTTTTATTTTAGAAATTCAGTTTAATTTCAGAGCCTGATTTCAGCAGACATCAGGGGGAAAGCCGTGTACTTTAGTTGATCGAGCTCAGTGCAAATGAATCAGAGCAGGGTTTGGTTATCTTTGGGCCCAGATCCCTCGGTTCAGTTGTCCTGGGCCGGAGCCATCCATGCCTGCCGTCTAACCCCTAGCTTGCCCACAATCCCTGATTAATGTGGTCTGGTTGGGAGCTGTCAGAAATGGCAGAGAGAATCATGGGATTTCTCCTTCAGAGTCCCAATGACACCCAGCAGCTGCAGGAGTAAACAGATGACTAACCACTGGCCTTTTGGCAGCCTTCGGAGATTCACATGGAGGGAGGGTTGTGAACATTGCTTTGACATTTAGGTGGATTAGAAAGTTCTTGGGTTCTGCTCTCCCGGTGTCAGAGGTGCTGGGTGCGGTAATTATTTGCGTCTTGCTTTGCTTCCGCTTGACCTCCAAACCACAAGGAAAACAAGGAGCTTAATTTTTCCACTTAAGGATGTTTGTTCAGATTAAATGTTTAAGTGTGAACACCCTCCCCCCCTGCCTGCCTGCGCTTCATTTACAAACAAATCACATTTTTTTCCCTGCTGCCACAGAAGAAATAATAAGTAACTGGCTTTGGAAAAGAAAACAACAAATTGTCGTTTCAGATCATGTCCTGCCGCAGACTTCATTTCAAATCTGGTGCTGAAAGCTGTCCTAGGGGCACAGTTTTGCGTGACGTATTGACATATTAAGGGCTCCATCAGACAACGCTGCTGCTTTTAAATCACAAATAAATTACTCTCCTCAAAACACTATTACTCGTCTGAAAATGAAAACTCACTCATTGTGACTGTCTCATATCAGGTAAAAACTGGAGAGAATTAATTAACCTTTGTCATTTTAATTGCTTTAGTGACAGCTGTCCTTTGGAGCTGGAGCTATCCTAATGCACACACTGCAAGCTTGTCAATTACTTTCCCAGTGAATAGATTAAAACGCCGCAGAGGATAGAGTCATTTCATTAGTCAGACTTAATGCCCCCCAGACATAACCAGGTGTGAACACTTCACCCCTAAATATGCAGGAAAATGAACAATACTATTAAGCCCATATGAATCGAATGAATTGTGGCAACATGAAATTAAGTTCATGCTCTATTTGGTTCTTCACCACTGCTTATTTTCCATTTGTTGTAAAGTTTTTTTCTTTGGTAAGGTGTGGAAATTAAAAACATTTTGGACAGAACATCCTGCAGACTGAAATATAGGACACCTGTGTTCCAAAGCTAATTTCTCTTATGGACGTTAGCGCTGACAATTCTTACAGCACAGGATAATAGCAGACATCAGCCTCCATCTAATTCTCCCATTTTGCTGCTAGCACATCTATGATTTAATGCAACTCAACCCATCATGAATCAGACTGAAATTACGCTGCTTTCAAACGTCTTTCAGACGGTTCTCTGCTTC